TTCAAAAGGATACGTAGCAGGGCCCGCATTGTCGGCTCATTGTCAGCGTACAACCCAACTTCCGTATGACCCAAATTCTGGATGAAGGTCATGATCTCCCGGCACATGAGGCTCAATTGGCCTTTGGACTGTAAGGGAATTGCTCCCAACGCTCCTGTTTGGCTGCAAGACAGTACTAGCCATCGAGCAGTCTTGACTTCTTTGAACCTCACTTCTGCTCCTCCAGGTAGGTCATGGCCTGGTGGTGCTCCTCCTTCTTGCTGCAGATCTACTACCTCTCTTCCATCTTCTTCAACGGCCACTGGGGCTGGTCGATCCATTTCTCCTGCCTTCGTGTAGCAGAAGTCCATACTGACAATTGGAATGCCAGAAAGGCGTGCTGCCCCTGTGCGCAAATGCCTGTCCGGTCGACCTCGATGCATCAAGCATGTCTCACACCAGGGCTGATGTGGGGTGTGTGTTAACTCATGCAAAAATTGCTCTTCTTCTGATGGCACTTTCGCTAAAGGCTGTGGTTTTGGTCGCCTTGCAACCTCCATCTCAGCTGCTGCCACCGCTGCTGATGCTGCCTTCAGCTCCAACTCCTTGATGTAGCTGACCAATCTCTGGTAGCATTTCAGCTTGCTGCCAGAAGTGCTAATGCCATAGAAGCCGCAAGCTGCTCGAAGCTCCCTCAGTTTCGATTCCGGGGTCAACTCAATCCCATTGACCATTAGGCTTCCAGGCATTGCTCCTCCTGCGACTAACCTCCCTTCTTGTTCTGCACCATCTTCCCTCACAGGTTCCTCATGCAGTTCCTCTTGTTTGCCAACCTCTACTGGCAACTCTACCTCTCTCCTCTCCATCGGCTGAACCGCCAATTCCATTCCAGTGTCGACCTCAAATCCCAGCTCATCTGTGGTGTAGCTGTCCTTCGTCAAGATGGTCATGATCAAAACGTTCTCTCCCTTTGCCTCCTCAATCAGCTCCTCCTGCTCCGTGAGTCCATGTAGCGCCTCACAAAGCTCCACCATCTGCCAACGACCTTGCTGCTTGACCAGGGTCGTCCTGAACCAATTCACCTTCGAATCGATCTCCCCATGGTACTGGGGCGTTTGGAGCTTTCTTCCCAAATGGATACCGATCCACCTGTCTCCATTGCCCATCCACTCTGAGCTCTGGCCGCCTGGCCTTGTCCTCCAGCTCCTTCGTCAACTTCGCTTCCAGCACTCGGACAACGTACGGTACTGTTTGAATGGCCCGCACAAACCCTTCAGCTATGAGGCTTCTGTTCTGCAGCTTCAAGGGGATCCTGATTTGGTGATGTCCTCCTCCATAGGTCAAGACTCGGTCTTCACCATCAATTCCCCAACCTGCCTGCATCATCTTTCCAAAGGAAATCATCGGCTGATTGATACCCTCGGCAAAGTGAGCCTTCTCGTGGATCTCAACCTCTTTGCCCTGCTCTGTTCTGAAGCAGAAGCATACATTCTTGTATCCTCTGACGCGGATGTGCTCTCCTTGGGCGTCTTGCAAGCGAGGGGCTGATTCCGAAAGCTCAGCTCCAATCCCAAGGAACGAGGCAGGAAGAACGGTGGCATCAGCGCCAGAATCCACAATGACCTGACAGAGATCTTGGCCACCTCCAAAGTAATCATCTCCTTCCTCCTGGACCACACAAATGCCCAGTGGAAGCTCCTGCTCCTCGTCTCCCTCTATCTCATCCACGTCCATGTCATAGAACTTGACCATCCTGATGTGCTCCTCTTCCTCGCTGATTGACCTCAGGTCGAACACCATCAATTGATCGAATTCTCGTGAAACCTCCTGTGAAACCTCTTCAATCCTCTTGATGGATGGGGTCTTCGTTGTCGTAGTCGGTGAGGTATGGGTGATACTTGACGTCTCACCCTGGGATGCGCTCGAACTCGCTTCGACCTGCCTCACCACCCGCCAGCAATCCTTTGCCATATGGCCGGGTTTTCCACATGGGCTCTCCTTTGTCTTCCCCTTTCCATCTGCCTTCTGACCCTTTTGGCCTATCTTTCCTCCTTCTTGGCCTTTTCCTGGTGGTTTGCCCTTGCCTTTGGTGCCCTTTTGATCACCTTTTCCTTTTCCTTTGCCCGGTCCTCCATCTTTCCCTTTCGACTTGCCTTTGCCCTTGCCCTTCTCGGTGATGCGGTCAATCTCCATGGGCGCTGGTCCTCCCGTGTCCTGGTTGAGGATCATTGCATTGGACCATTTCGTAGTGGCGTGGTCATACTGGATGATCGCCTCCCTCAACCGGCTGTAGCTTTGGGTTTCTGCCACCTGCAACTGGAGCCATGTCTTCAGCTGGCCTCCAACACATCGCATCAGGGTGGCAAACTTGATGGTCTCATCGAGGCGAGCTCCTGTCTTCTCGTACTCTGCATAGGCCTCTTCCAGCTTGAGCAGCTGGTTCAAAATGCTCCCTTTTCTCATGTCGAACTGTCCCCACTCCAATATCATCGTCAAGAGTCCAAGGGACCGATTCTTGCTTGTGGGCTCCAAGCTCTGGATGAGGACTCTGTAGGCCTCCAAGCCGTTCGACTCCTTCACCTGCTTGATCAGGGAGAGAGGCCTATGACGTAGGAGGGATGCCAACAAGGCATACAAGAAGCTGCTTCGTTGACGCTCTTCATCACTTTGGAGGGCCACTTCAATCTCCCTTCCTGGATTGGACCTGAGCTCCTTGATGTCCTCGATGAAGTTGGAGTCCATGGAAGAAAGATATTGCTCCAGGCTCCATGAGAAGTCTCTCCACTGGGCGATCTCTTCCTCCCTTGAGTGTGGGTCGAAGTTAGGAGGCTTTGGTAGGATTCGAAACCAATTTCGATCCTCTGGCTTCTTGGACACCGCTTCCACTGCGGCTCTTGCAGCCGCCCCAGCTGCCTCCACCGCCTGGACCATTCGTCGGGCTATTTCGGCTCCGTCAACTGCACCTCCAGCCACACTCCCTGTGGGAGAACCTGGTATTGGAGATCCTTCCAAACCAGCCATTTCCGCGTGCTCTCACCCTCCTTGGGCTCAAAAATGATGGGCTCCTGGTGGATGTAGGGATCACGGGCAAAGGGAAAAACTTGTAATCGAGGATGAACTCTTGCAGTGATTGCGTTCGCGCGGCCGGGCCACCGACCAGGGGATTCGGGTCCTGTCCCCAAGGATCCTGGAGCCTCAGGCAAGAGCTATGCAATTGCCGTCCCGGGCTCCGCTACCATGCGGATCCTTTCGACAACCTGAAACGGCGGCCTGTATGTACACTTCTCGATCTGTGCATGTCACCTTTGGTGTAAACATGTGAGTGCTTCTCATGCTGTTTCGCAGATGGAAATTTGACCTAAACGACCGCAATGTGGACAAAAAAACCGCCTCTGATAGCTTTCGACCTCCTGCCCCCTGGCCTCAAGTTTTGTACGTCCCGTTCTGGAAAAACATAGTTGGGTCTTTGTGTTTGGCTCACCTTTAATTTGGCAAAGGTGTAACATTGCATGCAAAAAAAAGGACCAGAACACTCGAATTGTTGCGCGTGTTGAAGTTTCAATGCAATACGGTTGAATTTTCATTCCTTTTTGTCATAGTGGCACATTGTTCTTGTACCAGGTTCCAAGCGCTAAGTCGGTTGAATGTGTTTCTTTGCGGGATTGTGAAGATGCTGGTCAACTATTGTTCCTTCCAATCACAGGTTTCCCAGATGTAGTTGGAACATGATGCAGTCGCAAACTTGTAGCAGGCATTGGTTCAAACCTATTGTTGAAGGCGAACATCAACAAAATTTCTTTCTTTACCTGCCACACAGCAGTAGCAAAACCAACTCTATGAACCTATGATCAAAAACCCTTTTACCATTGTCACGGCTTTGAACAAGAGAGGTGCTTTGAACCTGACATCGCTTGGGCATTTCACACCATGGGATGACTGCTGGGCCGCTGATTGATGATCTTTGGGATGACTGGAAACCAGTTGAGCAAACGGCCTTGGATTTCCTGCTAGTGCCCTTGCCGATTTTCTCTACATGTTTTTTGCGAACTGCCATATGGCCATAGGGCCTTGGAATTCGTTTCACAACCAAGGGCCAGAATGCAGAAGACGAAGACGAAGAACCCGAGGAGGATGACGAAGATGAATGGAACCCTGTGTGTCAGGGTGCCGCAGATGAAACTTGTGAAGGCGGTGAAGGTGGTGGAGAAAGTGCGGACGGTGAGGAGCAGAATTTAAGCAGCAGAGCGGAGCAGAGCAGAGCAGAGCAGAGTATCCTTGATATCACCATCTCTGACTCTTCTCCATATTCCCTTTCTTAGAACACAGAGTTTTAGTCTGTGGTTGCCAAGTCCGTTTTGCCGACAGGACTCAGACAGCGATTGGGCACCTGAGATTCAGGGTGCGGCCAATGTTGAGAAAAGTGAGGAGGAGGCTTTGAAAGTACTCTTGCAACCCAATTTTGTCAAGGAAACTCCTCCAGAGCCCCTTGCAAGCACTGCAACTTTTGAGATTTTTTTTTTTTCCGTGCTGCATGTAAAGGTTTCAGATTCTTTCTGAAACTGCAACAACATTTACACTCAAGAATCTCGTGAAATCTCGTGAAAAAGAGTATTTCTTCTTCCGTCAAGGTCCCTGCAGACGAAAAAGGAAGCGGATGCAGCTGGCCGAATGCTCCACGAGATGCGAAGGTGGGTTGGTAAGTTTTGTCAACTCACTTTTCATGTGCATTTCGTTGAGGCCACCGACTTGGGAGGAGGTGAAAGCGGAAATTCCTCGTGGACCTGATGTTGACCCAGATCTCATCGAAGCTCCTTCTTATCGGGACATGTCTCAGGAAGAGGCTCTTGATCTTGTGCGTCGAGGCTGGTCAACCCTGAGAGATGTTGACAAAGCGATATGATATACAACAATTTTCAACGTTTCAATTTGCGTGCTCAAACTTGGCTGCTTGGCTCTTCATTTTGAAACGCTGAGATATGTTGTGATGCCAAAAATTGGCAAGGTGCCTCTGTGAACTTCCAGGGACAACATGGTCGAACGCCTCTTCACAAAGCAGCAGAGAAGGCGTTTCCGGTCCTGATCAAGGCTCTTTGCGAAGCGCGAGCCGACCCTGACAGCAGAGATCACTTTGGTATCTTGTTGGCAAATTGGACCTTTTGCCATGATCCGCTCTGGAAGCCTTTTTTGCCGGATCTGGCGGAAATGGTGGAAAACATGTTCAAAACATGTGACCGACCGGTGGCTCGCGACCTTGGTCAAGGTGAGACACCCTTGCATGTCTTGGCCAAGTCTGGCCACGACGAAGCCATCTCCAAGTCTCGGCGATGTGAAGCGATTCAGATGCCCGGCCCGACAAGCGGGCATGAGCCCCGCCGCTGGAGGTCTTTCGATCGGTGGTCGGGGCGGAGGGTGTAGGTGATCTTGTTCACAAGACTGTAGAATCATGTCCTAAGAGCTTCGGGATGCAACTAGATGCATTGGATGCCGAGAGCTGGGGAGGGAGAGAGCTGGGGACCTCGCTCAGGATGCTGCTATGCCATGGTGCAGACGTACATGCAGTGAACCCTCGAGGCCGTGGTGTTCTTCACTTAGCTGTCACGGAGCATGACTTGCCAGCAATCGAAACCCTGATTGAAGGCCAGCACCTCAGAGGAAAGACACAGCAACGTGCCAGGCTGCGCGCGCCGCATTCAGTTGAGTTCCAGGGTTTTCCCTAAGGCATGGCAGATGTGAATGGGCAAGACCTGGCTGGATTCACACCGTTGATGTGGGCAGCCGGGCGGGACAGTGCCGACGGTGTGAAGATGCTGTTAGATTGCGAGGCGAGGCGAGTAGATGCGGTTTGTGATCATGCTGGTGATGCAACGCACTATGATAGGATCACCGTGCATAGCACAAACTCATTCAAACCGCAAAATTGTCACAGTGCGTCGCAGATCTTTGTTTTGAGAGTGGCACAAGGCTGACTTGCTGGTGAAAGCAGCCCGCGGTCAAACTGCTATGACCTTTGCTTTGACAAACGGGTGCAATGCAATCGTAGACATTCTGGACAAACATCAAGCCATTCTGGATGCTGAAGAGGCGATTCTGTTTGCGCATATATGCCACAGAACTGACGACTGGAGATCTAAGTGTACGGACAGAGGGCATGAAAGCAGCATTTCATGATACCTCATATCTCAAAACCTGCTCCCAAGTTGGATTTAGATTCTACGTTCGGAGATTCCATAAGACCTGTGCGCATTTCATCTCCAAAGTTGCATCCAACACTTGAAATCTTTTCCTAATTTCAGTCAGGGGCAAATCTCCAGCATTTTCCATTCAAGATTGCAGGCCAGACGAATCAAGGAGAAGGGTGAGCAGCGAGATGAGGATCTGGAGGCGGGACGAAGTGTCCAAAACATTTGCAATTTTCATGTTTTTGTTTTTTGGCTCGCTCCCCTCCTCCCTACTAGTAAGAAGTGCATTTCTACTAGCAACAAGTGTTTCTTGTTTAAGTTGGCTGTGGACAGGTCTTTTTCCAAAAGCCCAACCGTCCCAACGCATGCGGCGTTTCCGGTTTTTTGTTTTATCCGTCCACCGTGCACCGACCCCACCGTGCACCGACCCCACCGTCCACCGACCCCACCGACCTGTCCGACCAGTCACCAGAGGACTCGGGAGAGGGCCAGCCGACGTGTCGGATGTTCAGTTCGGCAGGAGAACTGGACAGAGACCTTGCAGCTGCCCAAGCCTGAATGGGCTTGCAAGCATGAGAAGCCAGCCAACCTGGAGCCATATGCCGGAAGGAGGATCTATGCAGAAGCCAAGCCAGACAGGCCAGTGAGCTGTCTCGAGATTTTGAGCCTTTTTTGTTCCAGCGCAGTTTGCTCTGCTTGTTACTGCACTGTTCCGGATGGATGTTGAGGCACTCCAATGTCTATGTCGGCAAGTTTGGGCCATGAGAGAGCTCGGCAAAGAAACGGACACCGGGACGATCGAAGAAATGGACGAAAGCGGACGTCCATGAGCCCATTGACCTTCTTCTCGAGAGTTGAAAAAGGCTGAGTTGTTCGAGTTGATACTTGACATTTTTGTTGAAATGTCTCTCAAAGGGCTGCCAGACAGGTTCCGAAGCAGGTACCCGGTGCACGATTATCTTAAGAAGCCTTTCAGAACGAAGCAGCTAGAGCAGCTTGTCAGCTTGCATGTGTGGTCAACAAACAGTGCATCATAAGATGGACAGTCTGATTCTGACTTCTGCGGGCCATTGCTGCTCAGAAGATGTTGTATCGTCGTTGACTATACTTTTAATCGTCCTTGCATGTTGTCCTGCTTGAAATGAAAAAGAGGGCCTTGAGCTGAGTTGCACTTCTCATTTCTGCGGCAGGATGACTCAGATATGACTCAGATATGACTCATGTGACGGGCTGGCCCGCTGGCTGAGGCTGAATCATGGTCCATGATTCGGCAGAAGGAGATCCTTTGAGACCTCATAGTGAGTTGTGGCTGGCTTTCTCCGCGAGTCTTGCAGGAGATTTCTCCTTCCGCGACTATTTGTCCTGCAAACTGAACTTCGTGAAGCCTGGCCCTCGCTCCGCGCGCGTGGTGTGCTGCGCCAACCATCCTCACCCCACCCTGCTGGGTGACGCGCCGTGCCCAGGTGGCCACCTTGTGGTACAGATCCGGAGACGTCTCGCACCAAGAAGGTCCGAATCGGTCCGTCGGCATCGGCTTTGTCCGGCTTGTTCCGCTGTGCGCCTCGGAGATGGTAGGTTTTTCTTGGAGAAGCGGAGCTGTTTTGTGGCCGGAAGAGCTTTCTTTCTCGAACAGCTCCCTTATGCTACTTTGCTGACTCAGCTCACTCTTACGAACCGGCCCTGCTTTGCAACGAGCCGGCCTTGGTGTCTCTTCCACATGAACCTCCCGTTCTCTAAGCCAGGCCTCCTGGCTTGGTCGTTGCTGTCGACGCTTGAAATCCACAGGCGGGAGGGACGACCGGTACCATCGGTCACGGTGGTTCGATGACATCGATGGCCCAGGTGAAGAACCAGATCTGGAAGCAGGAGCTCAAGCATCGCAGCTCAAGAGCCTTGAGAACTACCAACATCGCCACGATTTGCTTCGTGGCAGCTCTTTCTTCGAAGTGGCAGGAGTCCCACCGGCTGTGAGCAAGACGCATAGCAAGATCAGCAGAGGCATGAGCTTGCGGTGTTGGTCGAGATGCACCTCTGTCACCCAGCTTTCCTGAAAATTTAGCCCTCATCAGGATACCCTGCATCAAAAGTCTAAATTGATTTGGGTGGCCGTGCTCAAACGTCTTCCTTTGCATTGCAGTTTCGACACTGCTCACTGCGCTTGCACTGCGCTTGTTTAGGCAACTCGGTAAGCTTTGCCAGTGCCCCGTCGTCCACTTCTGCGAATGAGGAGTTGCATCCTCGGAGCGGAGAGGTGGTAGAGCTCGCTGGGTCGCCATGACGACCGAGCCGAAAGCATTTTACAAAGGAACTCGATTTTTGTTTTTGTGGGACAAACGGTGGTGGAAGCCAATTCCCACCAAAAATGTCAATCCTCTTGATGTCGCACGTGATCCTCTGTTGCTTCTGTGGCTCAGGTTGATGTCGCACGCTGTGCCCTTTGATCCGGAAGAGTTCCTACGGCCGGTTTGTCAGTCAGACCTCGTGGACAGGCAGGTCGTGTAGCGACGAGAACGACAGCCTTCTGTAGCAAAGAATTTTGCTAGATCTCGTGGGCCTGAAGAAGGACCTTGGGAAGATGGAACATCTAAATGGCTAGTAGCAGTAGTTCCCCAAACAGTTTACTGTTAGGGGTTCTTAATGCTTTACAGAATGGTCGCCTTGGTGCTGGATGGTCTGGTCGGGTTCCCGGCCGGCTTGTCTCTGACTTCCCTTCATTTGTCTCCCAGTTCTTTTCATTTGTCTCCCAGGCTGGGTGCTTGTGGTCGGGTTCCCGGCTGGCTTGTCTCCCACTTCCTTTCATTTGTTTCCCACTTCTTTTCATTTGTCTCCCACTTCCTTTCATTTGTCTCCCACTTCTTTTCATTTGTCTCCCAGTTCTTTTCATTTGTCCCAGGTCGGGTTCCCGGCTGGCCTGTCTCCCACTTCCTTTCATTTGTCTCCCACTTCTTTTCACTTGTCTCCCAGTTCTTTTCATTTGTCTCCCAGGCTGGGTGCTTGCGGTCGGGTTCCCGGCTGTCTTGTCTCCCACTTCCTTTCATTTGTCTCCTCTTCTTCCCAGCTCTGGACTGCTGTGTCCGCCTCTGCCTTGCAATCCTTTCATTTGTCTCCCAGCTCTGGGCTGCTGTGTCCGCCTCTGCCTTGCAATCCTTAACTTTACATGTGTCTCCCAGCTCTGACTGCTGTGTCCGCCTCTGCCTTGCAATCCTTTACATGTGTCCTCGCAAGCCTTTGCATTTGTCTCCATGTCGCTTGCAATCCTTTACATTTGTCTCCCTGTGTCTACATTTGTCTCCCAGCTCTGGACAGCTGTTTCACCGTTTGGAAACAACACCCATTCTGTGACGGGGTTTCACCTTCACTCCAGGGTCGTTGCCTGGTTTTGGGCCTTTGTGTGGGGTGGGAAGTGGGGTCAGCGTGGAAGGTGACCGTTCGGAGGATGTTTCCTTACACCCGAGCCATGGTGCAGGTTCTACAGCAAGCTAGCAGCAGAGTATGAGGCACAGGGGGAAGGGCACCGGAAGTCTTTGTTTGGCGAGTGCGGGGCGGAAGATTTCCAGTGGGCCTCTCATGTGTTTCTCAAGGTTGGTTCCACAAGAATGCGACAAAAGTCTTGACGAAGCACTGGCCCCACTCCCTCCCAAGCTTCATTGTTTTTGATGAGTTCTCAGCATCGTTTTCGCTTTCTGATGATGCAACACTGTCTGGGACTGCAGAGCGATCTTCTCAGTCCTAGTGTTGCTTTGGGACCTCATGCGGCAGCTTGCCGTCTGTCAAAACACAGCCCCAAGAGCGCCTTGCGTAAGACGTTTCCTCGAATGAAAAAATATAGAAACAGAACTGTTTGAAGGCCAAAACGAAACAAACGCAAAAGAAGGAAAACTGGGATATGAAGACATATGAAGAACCACCAGTTTCAAAAGAGCACAGTGTCCACACCGAGAACCTCCGCCTGTCCAGGCTGCTGCTGCTGCCTCTGCATCTGGACTGGCAGAGGCGACCGCACTTCCGGGCCGTTTCCGGGCGTTGATGTGCGCGGATTCTCACGTGGCTCGGATTCTCAGTGTTTGATTTGGGAGAGTCACATGTGGTCATTGTGGTGAGTGAGTTTTGGTTGGAGTGAACAAAAGAGTCTACTTGGTTGTCAATGATGCTGTTGATAGTGTCCTAATTTGGAGACATACTCAAGAGAGGGGATCTAGCTGCGCCAAATGACACCAATGAGACGCCGGACTGGACGACTATACGCAACTCCCGGCTATTCACAGAATCCACCCTGAGGTTTGCAGTGTCCTGTGTCCTTTTGATTCCCAGCAACTTTGCCAGGAGGGTCTGTTGCCATGGCGAGATTCGGGTGTTCAAGCCTCAGTGGAGTTTGTCCAAGCCTTGAATGGTCATAGGAGGAACGGTCAAGGTGTCGCGGCACCGCTCACCACCCTGTCGAGGCGGCCTTTTCCCTTTCGCCCACCACGAAATCTGAGAACATGGCATCGCGGGAGCCTCATCACAGCGAGGACAGGGACCAGGCAGAATCGGAGGACATCGGACTTGACATAGATACAGTGTGAAGAAGTTTTTGTTTGCACATACGTTTCACAGAATTTCAGTGAAAAACATGCGAGATGTCAATGATGCCAATGAAGGTGCGTGACAATGCTTGCATTTCTTTTTGCCAAGACACTAGATGCAGGCTCTCAATCAGACAAGTCTCTTTGAATAGTTGTTCGTAAAGTCTCAAGTTTGTGCCAACATAGCAATTCCATAAGTCTGGTCGTTCGTGTTTTCCAACACGAAACCCTTGAGATCTCACTCTGGGGTACAGAGTTCATGAGAAGGGTGTCCTTGCATGACATCCAACAGACAACCTGGCGTGACATCCAACAGACGGACCAAGCAACGCAGGGTCCTGTGAGGAAAAATACCAGGGTCCTGTGAAGGAACCCATGCAGGTTGTGCTTTTATAACAAACAGCACAAAGCACAATGTGAGCAACATCCAAAAGGGTCTGTGCACAAATCTTTTTGTGAGAGGAGCTTTTGCATAGAAATCATGAGGGGACCAAGTGAAGCAATATCGTGAACAACACAAAGCAATACCCTCATAAGGTACACCTCGATCATTTGATTCAAGTGTTATTGTTGTTTTTGTTGCTTTACACAAAGCGATACCTACTTGCTTGCTTGCTTACTTGCTTACTTGCTTGCTTACTTACTGACTTACTTCCTTACTTGCGATACCTACTTGCTTGCTTGCTTACTCACGTACGTACGTACTTACTTACTTACTTCCTTACTTCTTACTTAGTTCACATTACAGGCATCCGAAACCCTGCAAAGTGATGTAGCGAACAACCAAAAGCGATACCAACCTATGGAGTTCTATTGTGCACATAGGTTTTGGTGCAAAAGCACAACGTGTGTACAAAAGGGCCTCCCAATATTCATGAAAAGCACCTTGTTCCCTTCTTCCCTTCTTTTGTCCCTAGTGCTTTCTGGGAGGAATTGCCTTCGCTTCGCTTCGCTTCGCCCGCGCCAGAAGGCCGTCCGGACCCGAGGTCACGATCCTGGAATGTGGGACCCGCAGCGGGCAACTCAGTGGTGCTGAATGGTCCTGGATGCGATCTTCATGTATCTGATTTTCTCAAGTGGATGAAGTGGATAACTGGATGTCATGTAACTGTATCTCTGATGTTACAATGAGCTCCTCATCGCTGTCCACATTTTTTTTCCAATTCGTCTCCGTGCTTTTTGTGCGAGTCCTATTTCGCCAGTTCTTGTCTGGTCTCTTTTGCACCAGGACAGCAGCTCCTATGCCGCGACGCGCAGGGTGGGGTTCTTTCCAGTTGCGGATTGCTGAAGTGTGATTGGTGACCTCCCTTCGCTTTCACCGCGTTCCCCTCCGGGTGAGGCGAGTAGCCTGGGCGATGCGTCCGCCTTTGGTCGATTGGATGCCGAAGACACGGAGCCAAGCCATGTTCCTTCGAAGACGGGGTCTTAGCAGCTAGCGAGAGCGAAGCGGAGTGTGTGAGGCAAAAAAGTTGCTGTGAACATATTTGATTTGATGTTTTTTGAGGTTCCTTGATGTTCCTTGAAAGAATATGTTCCTTTTCAAGTTTTGTTTCCCTTCATGTGCGCCTGGGGTTCAATTCGTCAAACTGAGGGATGATGAGGGGCAATCTCCAAAGGCCAGGATAGGGCAGGTCGTCTTGCTTTCCTCGTTGTTCATAGGATGAAGCACATTAAACTGAGTTGTTGGCAGAAAAAGGGGAGAAGCGACCGGGCACATTTTTCAGAGCTTTGATGATCATAAGCTGCTAGTTCGTAGGCCCTAGGCTTCACAGCAGACTGCTTTGACCTAAGGTTGGTTGCAACATTCCGCTAAGAAGCCTTCTGGATCAACCTGACAAAAAACGCTTCGTTTTTCGACTAAAAACTCTTGGTCATGTGAATAAAATGCCTTGGTTGAGTGATGTACCGGGGCTCTCCCGCATGACCAGAGATGCCATCCCGTGCCACGATGCATGCCTGGATAGGGATGCATGCCATCAATCAGGGGCAGCATCTAATTCAGCTATCCCGACTCAACTTCCCATCCAGTCAGCCACTCGTATCTTGAGGGTCCAAAATGGCCATTCTACTGGACTGTGCCACGGTCGACCGGTCGCCGCCTTCAGCCCCCAGGCCGCGCCCGAGGCGCGAATGGGTCGTGCACAAGAAGAGCTTAAGAGCACCATCCGACTCCATCAAGAGCACCAGGGCGTTCTCAGAAGTGTTCTCTCTTTTCAAGTGTGGTCAACGTTCCGTTTTGAAAAAGACAAGCACCAGGGCGTGAAGTTGACCACCATCACAGGTGCAGTTGGAGCATAACCCTGAGCGGAGCCCACCGGCGCGGCCTTCCCGTCCCTCGCGGAGTGCACCGCTCATCTCGTTGGAGTCCATTGACGATGTGAATGTGGAAGTGATCCGCAGCCCAAGTGGCCAAGTGAAGCAAAAGCATTTGGTTTTTGCCATGGTGGAGGAGAAGACGGGAGAAGCCATGAGAAACCATGGAAAAGTCCCTTTGTCCTTGGTAAGATCAGTTTCAAGATGTTTTAATTACATTTGGTGGGTTTTTATCCCCCATTGGTGTGTCTTTCTTTCTTGTGGTCCCGCAAAAAAGACCGACGCCTTGATGCTCTTTTGCATCGTAAGCGGGTTTTGGTTGTGCGGACTCGGTGTCCAGTTTGGGCTTCTGTCTCCCATTCTCACAGGAGGAGCCGGTCTTCAAAACGGCCTTGAAGTCAGTGCAATTCGTTGGGGTGGATTCGAACGCTCCGGAGGAGCAGATCTTCTAAACGCGAAGGGGGTGACATGTCGGGCCTCTGGAACGGAGGTGAATATGAAAATAAGATTTTGGTCTATAGTTATGTCAAAGTTCATTTTCTTGTAGTCTTATACAACTTGCTGTTAGTTCCATGACTTTGAAATAATTTGATTCGACGAGCCATGCTGCTTGGAATTTCTGTTTGGTGGTGGCTGATATCAACTCTTTTGCTTGCAGGAAAGCCCGACGAGGAACAGATTGGCAGATGGTGCAGGGCCATTGCCACCGCGGGAGGATTGCTCGACAAGTTGACCCAACGATCTGCTTTTAACAAGAACGAATAATATACTTTTTAATTATGTTATGTGGTAATCCTTCTCTTTATCCTAACGAGACCCTTGAAACATTCTTTAGACTTTGGTTCCTTTTCAACTCATTTCTTTTGTTTTGCAAACTGTAGCGGTGAGTGATGATAGTATTGTAGCAGAATTCGTGCAAACCTGACAAACTTGCATGAGACCATCCGCAACGAAAACGTCGTTCCTTGATTTGTCGACTCCAAGATGTTTGACATCTCCTGACCGCGTCGCGAGTGCTCTGAGTGGTGGTGAATCGCTCAGACCGGCCAGGAGAAAGCCATTGAGACATCTCCTCGCTCCGGCCTAAGACTGCCGGGGGGTCGGCCCCGATCGGAACGGAGAGGCAGAGGCAGCGAAGACCTGTTCCAGACTGGCAGCTCATTGATCTTTGTAAGAACTGATTTGATTTTGTGTGATTTAGTTAAAAAGATCTTGGGCGTGTTCGTCCACTTCCTTACTTCCTTCCGTCCATCGGTCGTTCGTCCATCGTCCATTGTGAACCGAGAAACAGCCCAGGTGGGGATGCAGAAGTCACCTCCTGTGTCCAGGAGAGCTGTCCCGGACGCGGTCAAGGTGGAACCACTGGAGCACCGTCCCGTCCGCGTGTGGAGTCGGCCTTAACCGTTGGTGGAGCTGTTGAGGTTGTTTTCCGCCCCAACGGGGTGTCTGAAGAGGTCTTTCAACTTGTTCTTGAGGTTTTTGTCTCCCTGAAATTTCTGGTGAACGTTGAACCTTCGCAGGATGTACATATTGAGCTGGACCTGGAGGAGGGGCATCACTTGCCAAACACCGAAAGAAATCACGGAGTTTCTGATGGTTCCTTGTTTGCCCTGATGTTTGTTCATTTCAAGACTTCATTTCAGACCTTGGCATTCAGAACAGTTCCACCCAACGATGTCGTCAGACTTTTGCGTCAGACCAACTATTTCTCTCACGTTGGCGTCAGGACAAAAAGAAAGAACGGAGGAGTGTGATGAGTGTGAGATGAGACACTGTTCGCCAATTCGATGAGACACCTCGCTTCTCCTTCTTCGCGAGGAGAGAAAGTACTTCGAGCGCTGAGTCCAAAACCGTGCCTCGAGTGCCGGGATCCGAGCGCTTTGTGGCGCCGCTTCTCACCATGGTTCCCCGGGCACGGCCATGTCCGACACACACACATACACTCAGAAAAAGGACGCTACGAACGGGGCGAAACTGGCCTTACTACTAGTAACAAGGTTCGCTACGAACGGGGCGAAACTGGCCTCGCGACTCGAACGGAGCGTTCGGACGCTCACCAAACGGGGCTCACTCGGGACAGCGCCGGACTGGTCCAGCCGGACGACGGTGAGTACCGAGGCCAAGAGTCAGTGACGAGGATGCCTTGGCTGCGCTCGAGGTGGGGCCGTGGCAAGGATCAATTGATAGGTTGGTGAAAACTTCTCGGTTCCGTCACCTGAGGTGAAGAAAAACAAATTGGTCGCACTGTTGAGATGTATGATCTATGTAATGAACGAAACCCAGAGAAACCAAACTAACAAAGTACAAAAACAAACACACTTCTTGTTTTGGAGATTTCCTCTCAGGTTGCTCAGTGGCAGCCTCGCAAAGATCAAACGAAGGCGCAAGTGAAGCGCTGCCTGTCGCACTGCATGTTTGACACGCGCAGCGAAGGCACAACGAACATTTCTCAGCTTCCAAATGTGTCAGGTTCCGACACAATGCTCATTGTCCACAGAGGAACGCGAGGAGCCTGTCCTCTCTGGTTCAAGATGGGTTTCAAGCAGTTCTGTTTCAATGTTGATAGGCTGCGAAACGCTCAAGCAAGAGTTTGCTAGCTTGAAAAGTAACATATGTTTTCTTGCCAGTTTCGTTTTCTTTGCTCCCAGCCGATGGTAAGGAGCCCACATGTTCCTTCTGTTTGGTAAAACAACATGCTCCGGATGCTAGCTTTTATGCGTCGTTGTGTGTGTGTGTGTGTTTTTGCGCCCCAAGGTTCTTCTTGCTTTTAAGAGCGGTTGAACTGCAAACGTTGGTCGAACTGTGATGTCCGTATGCTTGATTGTTCCTGTGGTCATGTTGATGGGTTGTGGGTGTGTCAAGTACAATCGTAGGTTCTTTATCCCTTAAGTCCTATTGTGTCAAGACCCAGCGTGGCAAGGAGAGTTTTCAACCAAACACATACACACGTGTATATGGTTCCCCGCCCCCGGGGGTAAAGACTAGTCACAACCTTGGATGGTTCCGTAGTGTTTGGCTCTAGTTGGGTTGCATGACCTGCCAGGGCTGCCATAGTCGGCTGAAGATCGCAGTCGGAACTTCGGGGTACTGCAATCCCTGTTACCTGGCAGGTCGCATCCTGAGGTTGGTGCAGCACCGATATCCACCTTCCAAGGCTGAGGAGCTGACTTCGTTCTTGGCCAAGGTCTTGCACACTTTGGAGGAGGACTCGGAGGCCTTTGAACGTGACCGCGCCGCGGGGGTGGTGGATATCGAGGGATACCTTGTCACCGTGTCCCAGAAGGAAGCAAAGGCTGCAGTTCCTGAGCCACTAGCCGCGGGGGTACACCCTGGGAAGCAGGATCCGGAAGCTGGTCCAGCAGTGGTGAAGAAGGAGAAGAAGGAAGGTGAGGAAGGTAGGCACCGAAGGCGCAGGCGAGAAGAGAAGACAAGGTCGAGGAGCAAGAGCAGAAGGAGGGAGCGAAAGAAGCAGAGGAAGGAACCGACTCCTGAACCGGTGGAGGAGGTCAAGACAGAGGCTGAGGAGCCCTTTGAGGAGGCCGAGTACGAGGCAGAGGTTGAAACAGACGAGAATGACGAGGAGATCGACGACGAGAGTCACCACGACGTGGAAAGCCCAGACGCCGAGGTCGCACGAGACCCAGAGGGAGCGGGACTTCGGAAGGTACCTCCAAAACCCTCCGCACGAAAACCGCTACCTCGACGGCCGAGGACACCATCGAGATCACCGCCAGGTTACCGTGGACGGCAACAAGACGGACCGAAGAAGTGGAAAGGAGTTAAGCATATCATCCGGGGGCAAGCCCTGGGCTACAGCAGCAAAGGCAGACAGCCGAAGGGCAAAGGAAAAGGGAAATGGCACCGAAAATGAGGAGGCCGGCCAGGGCAGATGGCCCAGCACGCCGCAGAGGAGATATCCGTCGCCCAGCTGCTCACTTCGGAGAGGAGGAACCTCGGGGCGAGGAGGCCCTGCCATGGGATCCCAGTGTTGGGGACCTTGTGATCGCCGAGGGTGCTCATTACTATGGCGTCCCCTGTCGCTTCACCGGGAGGATCATGGAGGACATGAGGGACGCATCCGGACGCCATTTGTCCATCAAGCTTCACGGCACAGATCACGAACCCCTCCTCACTTGGGCCACGGGGGCCACCACTCCAGCCCGCGTCCACCTCTGTCCCGAGGGGTGTGCCAGGGCGGCCGAAGGTCCAGGTCTTCTTCATTGCAGCGACCTTCGAAGCATACGGTCCCTCGAGGAGCTAGTAGGAGTCCCCTGGCGAGACGTTTTGCTGGAGGGTCGTGCCAAGGGAGACGACGAGCTTGCAGCATTGAGGAGCCGCATGGAGGGAGTCGGGGGTCCAGGCCCTGGGGCGACAGCAGCGGTCGCAGAGATCGAAGAGAAGGAGAAGAAGGCAAAGGAGGAGAAAGAAAAGAAAAAGTCCAAAAAGAAGAAAAAGAGAAAGCGAAGAAGGAGCCGCAGCCCGCGTTCAGGCAGCGAGGAGTCAAAGAAGGGAAAAGAAAAGAAGAAAAAGAAGGAGTCGGGGAAGAGCCCTGCCGACAGCTCGAGTTCGACAAGCAGTTCATCCACGGTAGAGTTCAAGGAGGTCCCACAGGAGGTGCTCTTCCGGGGTTCTGGCATGGATCCACACCTCCGCAATCGCCGAAAGCTGCGACGCCGAGCTCAACGGATGGCCCGTCGATCCCATCACAAGAAGGAGGACAGCAAGTCGGCATCTTCAGGGGACGGGGCAGAGTTGGCCCTGAAGGGCGATCAGATCTTCGGCGAATCCCAGAAAATTCGAGCAGTAGCATTGCAGTTTCCAGGTGTTTTGACATCTCAAGCGGTGGAACAGATGCAGGAGCTACTCGTCCAGGAGCTGGGGCAGGACCGTCAACGGGAGGGGCCATGGAGCCCCACGTTACTCAGATACTTCAGACAAACGCTATCCCGCAAAATGTCTGGTCCAATGTCCAGGGAAGCTCTGACATTATCGACGATTGGAGATCAAATATTAAAAGGCTTGGTGCCGAGTGCAATGGACACCCTCATTCAGAGATTGAAGTCGCTCGAGGCGCAGTCCTCAGGCCTTGCGTGGACGTCCGCCCAGCGGATGGAACTTTTGCCCCCAGACGGGGCCAGCCTTTCGTCGAGGCAGGAGCTTTCAATAGCTGCAGCGGAGCACCGCGCCGAAGTGAAGGCACATCAAGCAGGGTCCTGGAAGGACTGGGGGAAAGGAAAGGGCGGCAAACCCGAAAAGGACGATGGAGGAAAGGCAAAAGGAAAAAAGGGAAAGCAAAAGCCGAAGAAGGATTAGGTGAGGAAAGCGCATTGAGGAGCACCAGAAGTATTAACCGAGAGGGAACGGGGCGGGAGTGCCCTGACATTGATGGCATTGGTACAGAGCGGGGTGAGGCCCTGGAGCATCAGAGGAGCAGTTCACAGACCACTGCAACAATCCTGGATGGTCGGGGGTCGAACCCTGCACAGATCGATATTGTGGATGATGAGGCCGCTGGCGCCCGGGTGAAGTGGCAGACGGTTGGCCTAGCTGGAGGTGGCCCTTCAGCCTTGAGCACTACGAGTCGGGGCGGTGACCCTGAGGGGGCAGAAGTGGAGGATGGACCATTCCCTCCCCTGCCCCCTGGCATTTCTTCGAGCGCTCATTTGACAAGCGCAGCACCCGCAGCAGCGACGCATGGCCGTGCTGGAGGCGAAGACCTACCGGGGCAAAGCCCTGCTCGACGCTCAGAGTCGGGAAAAAGGACTGTGTGGCAAGAGGCTTTGGGAGATGGGGGAGGATCTGGCTATCGAATTTCGGAGGGTTTCGTCGCTCTGCAGCCAGACCACGGCAACAGGGAAGAACCCTAACCCTAGCGGTAGTAGGGACACTTTCCCCTTGCCAACCCTTCGTTCTCAGATCACCCTCGGTCTCGAAGCCGTGGAGCCTTGGGTCATCGATTGGGTGCAATCCGTGTGCATGGGATTGAATTCACTTTGGGGTTGCCCGACCGCTTCACTGCAGGATGGGGCAGCCAGTTTGGTGCATGGAACGGTGTCGGAGGTGCACTCCCGCGTCCTCCGGTCGATCGCTCGAGACGTGGCTCGGCTGGGAGGGATAGATGAGGTGACGCAGGAGTTTGACTGGAGTTCATTTTTTCGGACAAGGACCATTGACTATAAAGGGGATGAGGTCAAAACGGCTCAACAATTCACGTGGAAGAACATCAGGCCGGCCATACCCCGGGAGATCGGGGTGGTTGAGCTAAAGGATATTTGCGAACAAGGGTGCAAGCATTACATCGAACATTTTCCAGATTTTCTCAAACCCTCCCATGAATGGGAGCCAGTTCGGAACGCAAAAGTTATGGTAGCAGACAGGGATTGGTCAGAGGTAGCAACAGGACTCTTAGAGTCAGGGATATTCGGGGTCATCCCTGAATCAGAGGTGTTTCGCGTCCGTGGGAAACCATTGCTAAACGGCCTATTTGGCGTGGAGAAGCACGAAGAGGCAGAGGGAATCCCCATTTACCGCTTAATTATGAATCTGGTGCCACTCAATGCCCTGTGTCAGGGATTACACGGGGACATTGGCACCCTGCCGCACTGGTTTGGAATGACACCCTTTCACATTGAACCCCACGAATCCGTGGTCGTTTCAAGCGAAGATCTTCGGTGTTTCTTTTACACTTTGCGGTTGCCTAGCTGCTGGTACCCGTACTTGTGTTTCAACAAAAGATTGCCAGCTGAGTTGGTACCGGCGGAACTTCGGGGGCAACCCTGTTATCCTTGCTCAAAAGTTCTGCCCATGGGGTTTTTGAACAGCGTAGGGATCGCACAGCATGTGCACAGGGTACTTGCTCTACGGTCACAAGTCCACAACCAAGTACGCGACAGCTCAACGTGTGAGATACGCAAGGACAAGATCTTGCCAGAGGGTAAAGCAGTCTGGCGAATATATCTTGACAACTATGACTTGCTGGAGAAGTACCCACACGAAGTGTTGGGTGACCTGGGTATGACTGATGCCCCCGAGGTCCGAGCCCTGAGGCAGGAGTACCTAGACTGGGGACTCCCCCGCCATCCTGGAAAAGCCGTGAGCCGACAGTTGATCGCGGAAGTCCAGGGGGCGGTAGTTGACGGGGAACGGGGCATTGCGTACCCTAAGGGCCAGAAATTGTCGAAGTACATCACCATTGCCCACCAGCTATTGCAAGAGAGGTATTGTTCACAGAGGCAAATGCAAGTGGTGTGTGGAGGCCTGGTCTATTTCTCTACCTTCCGTAGACAGCTGCTTGGTGGGCTCAATCTTTGTTGGGCCTTCATTGAATCGTTCAACCACTGCGGACGTCGCAAGCAGTCGCTCCCAAGCGGCGTCAAGTTGGAGATCTCTCGCTTCCTGTGCCTGGTGCCTCTCTGTCGTATGGACTTCCGCTTAGGTTTGAACCCTAGGGTCACGTGCAGTGATGCTTCCCAGCAGGGAGGAGGCGTTTGCGTGGCAACGGGGCTTACCACCTACGGGGAGAAAGTGGCCCTGGGAGAAGAGCGTCGTGAGATGGTGAGCGTTAGCGGGCACAGAGTCTTGAGCATCGGGCTTTTCGATGGGATTGGTTGCCTGAGGGTTGCTTTGGATCTCTTGGGATGTGATGTCATAGGTCACGTTTGTGTGGAAAAGGACCCGGCGGCCCGCCGCGTAGTAGAGCATCACTTCCCGGACAGTTGGCACTACGACGACGTTGCGAAGCTCGGGGAGGACGACGTGTTGAAGTGGTCTCTACGATTTGGGCAAGCTTCCATAGTCCTCATCGGCGCGGGACCACCGTGCCAGGGAGTTTCTGGACTTAACAGCCAGCGTAAGGGCGCCCTGCGTGATGAGCGGTCATCATTGTTCGTGCACGTCAAGCGCTTGCGTGAACTGGTGCAACGATTCTTCCCTTGGGGGCAGGTACACTGTTTAATGGAGAGTGTCGCCTCCATGGATGAGCGTGACAGGCAGGTCATGTCGGATTCATTCGGGGATCAGCCCTGGGAGATCGATGCTGGTACATTGTGTTGGTGCAGTCGCCCAAGACTATATTGGATAAGCTGGGAGTTGAACCCACTTGGTGAGGATGTGGAGATCAACGAGAGGTGTGTCACATTGACGGGGCATCAGCCCTGGACGAGCTCTGTGGAGGCCGGTTGGGCAAAGGTTGATGAGACCAGGCCGTTCCCTACGTCACCACGTCAAGACCGCGTACAGCTCGGGGACATCGCCCTGCGGGCCTGAGCGCCTGTGACAAGAACACCGTCAGCCGCTGGGAGGAGGACCTACACAGGTTCCCACCTTACCAATATATCCCTCGGAACTGCGTGGTCAATAAGCAGGGACAGCACCGACTACCCAACATCCGCGAGAGGGAGTACATGATGGGCCTTCCCGTGGGGTACACGCAAATGTGCATGCCCAAATCTATGAGGAAGCATGTGGAGTGCAATGACAAGCGACTGAGCTTAGTCGGTAATGCTTGGGCAGTGCCGGTGGTGAGTTGGTTGCTGGGCCAATTGATGGGGCCTCGGGGGGCGGGACCCCTGCTGTCACCAGACCAGATCATGGCCCGACTCACGTTGGAAGGAAACCCCTACATACAATCTCGTTTGATGCGGCCACCCTTGCAGACGGATCAGCACGCAAGCGGGGTCCCTGAGGAAGCCCTGGTACAACATTTAGGACGCCTGGTTTCAACCAAGGGCTCCGATCTCATGATCACAGCAGCACAAGACGAGATTCAAAGCTACCAGCGTTTGCGACACACAGTCAATGCAAAAATGTGGCGTTGGAAGGTGGTTTCAGGCTGGAGATGGCGGACACCCGGTGAGCATATTAATTCACTAGAGCTGAGGGCTATCCTGGCATGCCTCCGATGGAGGTGTGAGCATTTGAGAGAACATGGATCGCGCTTTCTCCACCTCACGGACTCACTAGTATGCCTACACAGCCTCACTCGGGGCAGGACATCTTCCCGTCGTTTACGCAGAACCCTTTGCCGAATAAACTCGCTTCTACTGGCGCACAACCTCGCCGCCCTTTGGGGCTATGTGCACACTGACCTGAACCCGGCGGATAAGCCGTCGCGGTGGTCAGTCAAGACCAAATTTAAACATGCCAAAGGCCGTGCTTGAAGGTACCACTCAAGCCAGTAGAGCGAAAGAAAGGCAAAGGTTAGGAAGTCTAAGAGGCCTCACGGTCCAGCCTGCTACACGTGTCCGCTACGATCGTGCCCTGAACCGTTTTTTGTCCTTCCTCAAAGAGGAGAACTTAGAGCTGCCCACTCGACGAAGTCTTCTTGACCCTTTAGCAATGGAATACATAGAACATCTCTGGCGGATCGGGGAAGGGCGTGGACTGGCCACCGACACCCTGGCGTCATTACAGGATTTCGACGCAAAGATCCGGGGTCAGCTCCCTGGGGCGTGGCGCCTTGTGAAGACATGGGTGACCCATGAGTTGCCAAACAGGGCACCGCCCATGCCAGAGACAATTCTCCAAGCCATGGTGGGCTGGAGTTTGTATCATCAGCATTTTTCCTTTGCAACCAGCCTTTTGCTTTGCTTCTACGGAATTTTACGCACTGGTGAACTGCTAGATGTTACTAAGAGTCGCATCGACGTCTCGGATTCCCTAAGAGTGGCCGTTGTCGGCCTGGGTTTGACGAAGGCCGGAAAGAGAACTGGGACCCAGGAGAGTGTCACTGTCGGCCATGACACTGCTTTTCGTTTTTTACACCACTGGATGTCCCTAGCTACCACTCATCAACGTCTCTGCCCGCCAGCTCCCCGTTGGCGAAAACTTTTTAAAACCTGTCTCGAAGCTTTGCACCTTGAACCCCTTGACCTCAGACCATACTCTCTCCGAAGGGGAGGGGCTACATGGTGGTTTTGCCAGCATGGAAACCTAGACAGGGTGATGCTGCTAGGTAGGTGGCAAGCCCAAAAGACGGCCCGTCTTTACCTTAACGAATCAAGAGCAGTCTTGACGGAGATGCAGTTAGGTCCTTTTCAGCAGTTTTTGACGCCGTACCAGACTTTCTTTCGAAATTCCACCCCCAAATCTTTTAAAACACTTGAGCCGCTGCCAAGCAGCAGGCCGCCCGCCGGAACTCGGCGGCTCGGGGGACGTGGAAACAGAGGGAGAAAATCCCTCAAACGACCTTCTAGAAGCTCGTA